AAGTCCCCACCTTGATGCACAGACAAAATGACTTTTCCTTACAGAAGCAATAACAGATAATACATGAAAAGGCAAATAACATAAAGCCTATGTTTTTTAAACTTAAAAACTATGTTTTTAAATTCAAAAGGAAATCGTTTTAAAAAATTTAGCTATTTAGAAAACAATGTGAAGACTATTTGTAAGATGCAATATTGTGGCGTGTCATTCCAAAGACCCAAGAAAAGTTATTGGTTCCAAACTAACTTACTTTCTGGTAATGGTTTCTTATTCATCTGTTGCACAACTCATGTTTTCTAAGAAGATAGCTCACTACACATCATCTTCGCTTTGTGGAGAGTGACCTTACATGCTAATCGTTCCGATTCTTTATAAGTTACATCCCTTTTCTTAATGAGGAGTCCATTCTGGCTACAACTCAGGTAACACACATTTTTCAGTACAACTACACTTTTCTGAGTACTCCAACTAATTTAGTAATTTAATAAGGAAAAGAGAACAGGAGGGATGATAGCCTAGTTACAATGTCTGTATTTTAATCTTGAAATGTTCTGGACACTGAAATCTTTGCCTAACAACAGGAATGACACACCAGTACACAGTGTTACCCAGTCACCAAAAATATAACACTGGGGCAAAGAAAACCAGGAGATTCTTTGGAAGAGTCTGATGGGTTCTGGAGAACTACTGTCTTTTCTGTATGTTACATTTCTAGACAATGTAGTGAAAACTAAGCCTGCCAAAGCGTCAACGTGTGCACATATTATGAGACTAAAATGAGAAAAAGGTTTTATAACTTTTTTTCAACCCAACTATCTTGTGGAACTTTAAATAGTATTTTATAATTCCAGAGACATAGGTAACTGCTCTAGCTCGTTCTATATAAATACGCTATTTAATTTTAAATTTGGCATCATTGTCATACAGTTAAGCTTTATGCTTAAAATAGCATTTTTTTAAAAAAATCAATTCCGTTTATTCATTGTAGGGTAGTATTTCAAGTCATGGCGACCCAAAAGAGTTTCCAAAGCTGTCACCTTTAAGGAAGCTGGCTGCTACAACATTCTCCTAGAGCAGCTGACCTTCCGGTTAGCGACTGAGTTTTTAAACACTGCGCCACCAGGGCTCCTCTAATCCGGTTGCACATCTCCAAAGGTATTTGATCTTGTATCTTCACCGCACTGAGAAATCTGGGAGCAATTCTTGAGCTCTCCAGTGGCCAGTGAAGCGGTTCGGCCTCTATCAGCCGCCTACCATTCAGAAAAGCCAACTGCAATTTCCCTAGCTTTCCTCTAGCTCAGAGCTCAAGGTCTATATAAACTCTGGCCTCCAGTTGGGGGAAGCCCTTTGTAGCCAATCAAGGCTTCCTGAGCTATTGCGTCACACTCCCCCCCCCCGGGTGTGACGTCAAAGGCAATCCCAGACCAGCCACGTGGGCCAGGAGTGTAGTGTTTCCAGGCAACAGTTTGGGAGACACTTTGGCAGCTTGCGCCCTGAATCAGGGTGGGAAGCTGGCTAGGGCGCGGCTCGTCGCAGCTAGGGCGCCCCGGGGACGCGCGGGGTCTGCGAGGCCAGAACCTCCGGCCGGACGTAGGGGAGCTGGGGGAAAGCAGCACCGGGGAAGCTGGCACCTCGGGCGGTGTAATCAGAGCCGGGTCTGGCATCGCCTCTCCGTCTCAGCCGCTCTTTCCAGCTTTAATTATCCTTTCAGCACCGCGCCCCGCCCCCCCCCCATTTCCTCGGCCAGACGAGAAAGCCTCTCGCGCATCGCGGTCGCTGCGCTCACAGAGACCTCTCTTGGAGACTCAGCCTCTGTAGTAGGCAACCCATTTCAGAGCCCGCGATCCCGCTAGGCGGGAACCTGTGAGACAGAAGACTGCAGCCCCAGGTGTGGATTAGCATCTCAATCCAGCCCCGGGCTAGCCGCCTACCCCCACCAGTTTCCTCGACCCCCGCCGCACCCGGAGCTAGGCGACACCCCCAAACCCCCTCCCCAGAGGCCCGCGCTGCAGCTGCAGCAAGCCGCGGCGGCGTGCTCCGTGCCACGTCGGAATTGGCTCCCGGGACGCTGCAGCTGCGTGCGCACCAAGCGCGCCGTCCCCAAGCGCGCCCGCCCGGGCGCGCAGAGGGATGCGCGTCTTCCTCCCGCCCCGCCGGCCAGCGCCCCTGCCTCTGCGGGGACCCCGGGCCAGAGACCGGCTTCCGGAGCCTCTGGGGAACCAGCTTGACATTTTGGGGAGGGTGCCAACCCGGAAAAAAGGGGGAGTGGCTGAGCGCTGCCGGTAGCGGCGGGGAGGTGGCGAGGACCCCCCCCTCTCGGGGGTCCCAGTTCCTGCGAGCCTAGTACCAGAATCGCTTAACCCTTTGCATCCCAAGTGAGCGGCGGTGCCAGTGGCCGTCCCCACAGTATGGGAAAGGGAAGGGAATGGTTGGAAAGGTAAGGGAAGGGGCGGTTGTGCTCAGACTTTCCTTCCACAGTGGGAATTCATGTGTGCTGCGCCAGCAGAGGTGGAATGGAAAAGTACATCCCGGGACGCGCCGCCTCCGGGGCGCAAGGGTGTTACCTGCGTGACCAGAGGCGGCGGGTTCTGGGCAGCGCACGGGGATGGGAAGAGACAGGATTTGTCGCTCAGACTGACAAGGAGCAGACACAACTCCTGGTTTTCAGGCTATTGGAAATTTTCAGACCTCAAACTTTTTTCTATTGAAAGCAGGCTTTTTAAAAAAAATATATATAGAGAGAGAGAGAGAGAAGAGAGAGAACATTTCTCCGTCTCTCGGACTTATTTAGGAACCCGCATCGTGCAGCTATGTGCGCTAGGGCAACGTACCTTGTTCAGCTTTTGGTCGAAAAGTCGTCCTCGATCTGTGTGGTCCTGGAGGGTCGGTGGTGAGGTTTCCAAAATTGAGGTAAAGACGAGATCAGATGAATTTGAGACGACCGGCCAAAAAGCATAAAAAATTTAACAACAACATTTAAAAAAAAAAAAAGAATCCTTCGATGTAGGATTCTCCCCACTTTTCCCGGGGAATTTCACTGTGATTCTCTTGATGGTTTCCTTTACACTTCAGCCTCTTTTTCTTCTTTTCCCTTTTTTCTTCTTTCTTGCTTTTTTCTTCCTTTCCTTTTCCTTCCTCCCCAGTCGCCCACCCCCGATATCGGCGAGTCTTTTACCCGATTTCACAAAAAAGCCGGGTGAAGACTCGGCAGAGCCCGGGCGGCATCGGGAGCAAGTCCCTGCTTCAATGGGCTGCTCGCAGCCAAGACTGGCTAATTCTTTCCAGACGCTTTGACTTCTCCTTTCCCGCTGTTGGTGCCTTTCTGCCTCCTCCAACTTAAGGGGCTGGTGAGTGTTTTAAAAGGGGCGGAGGAGGGGTGGGAGTGAGGGGAGTGGAGAAGGGAGGTGCGGGCTGGGAAGCTGGGAGGGGAGGGCTGGGAGTGGGGCGGGAGGGGAGGGGGAGACTTGGCCATTCAAAGTCCCAGCTGAGCTGGAGAGCGGTTTCAAAGGCCAATGAATTCAATTAACGTGATTGCAAACGTGTGCAGCTAGAGTGCGCGCAGCCTGGCCTTCCGTTGAGTCCCTCTTCTTCCTCTAAACAAGGCCTCTAAACATACCCTGCCTGTTGTCTAACCTGGGTCCGAAAGGTGAGATCTGGCCCAGGGATGTATAGGGTTTGGAGGGTGTATGTGTGAGCAGGGGCAGAGTACCCCTTAAGCAAGATGACCGTGGGTTTACTTGAGTTTACTAATCTTTAGTAATCACACACGAGGTAATCCCGTATTACTTTGCGTACTGGGCACTCTGTCCTCACCAAGGCTTGTAAATTTAAAAAGATTGTGATCGTGTAGGAAGATGCTGTGGGCTGGAGTGAGACACAGATCCCAGCTCTACCTAGAAGCAGAACCTTTGATGTGAAAATTGTAAAAGGATTCGCTGTGGATCTGTAAGCCTGTGTTTACCTTGCTTAAGAAGTCATCCAACCAAAGACACTCTTAGTTACCCGGGACTCTAAAATACAGCAACTGGTCCACCACTTGTTAACCCTTTCCACCCAATGAGAAGCGTGTTAACGGAAATTATGTGTGACAACGTCCATTACACTGAAATTCCCACTTTAGGCGGCTTAAACAAAGTAGAAAAGTAATTGCCTTTTTGTGCTCCAGCCGGGCCCCTAATGTAAAAAAATACGCAAAAAATTGTATACTGAAAATAAAATGGAAATCGTCCTCTGGAGGACTGGAAACAGTGTGTTTAGAAATACATAGCCATCTCATCTTAGACGTGCATGGCTCTCTTTTGCAAGTCCTGAAGATTCGACATGCTTAGCCCTGCTTGGACGTCTTCGCTCAGCTTTATTCCCCTGACCCAAAGCTGGGAAGAGTTAGTGTCGCTCTGGGTTATTTCCTCTTGGTTCTTGCCATGGGACGTCCTGGTGACTCAAAATGGACAGTAGGTGGCACTGTTTAGGAAAAAATGAGAGCGTGCTTCCACATCAGCTGGCTTGACCTATGGAGATGCCATTGAGACTGTCAGAAAGGAAAACAGATTTCTTTACCTTCTCCCCCCCCCCCTCCTCTTTTCTCTTTCCCTTCTAAGGTTCCTCTGATGATAATTTTGGACTCCAGCAGACCTTTGAGAACTGGACTCTGGCCCCTTATTGTGTTTATTGGGCAATAATGAACAAGACCAAACAGAAAAATAATTTGAGGAAACTTGGTAGAGTGGCAGCACGCTGTTGCAGGATGCAGAGTCTGGGGGACATAACTTCGGCTCAAGAAATAATACTGCAGTACCATGTTGTCCGTCCACACAGTCCCCGGAGGCTGACCTACAAAATACCTGCATTGACGCCTTTCTGCTCCCTCTCCCCTCTACTTCCAGTCCCTCCCCGAAAGCCCTCAGCTTTTACACCTCTGGGAACTGTTCCCTTGCCCTGGTGACTTCACACCGCTCCAGGGATACCCATTTACTCTTCCCCCCCCCCAGACCTGCTTCAGCCTTTGTTTGAACCCTGCCTTAGGTGGCTCAGCTCTGGAGGGACTGGGACTGGCTTAAGTTTCAGCGATCAATTTCATCCTACTTAATCAGACTCTAGCTTCTTGATTTTTATTTTCATGGTAGACTTTTGAGCTAAGTAACTTAAACCCTAGTACTTCAGGCCTGTTTCCCTGGTGGCGCAGCAATTAAGTGGTTAGTTGTGAGAAGCGGAATATAAAATTTTGTTGTTGTTATGTGCCGTTGAGTCGCTTGTGACTCATAGCGACCCTATGTACAACAGCCCTAAACTCCGCTCTGTCCTGTGCCAATCGCATTGCCTCTGACACACCCATCCCAATTATCCCAGGCACTGAATCAATCCACCTCATAGAGGGTCTTCCCCTCCTTTGCTTTCCTTCTCCTCTCCCCAGCATGATGTCCCTCTCTAAGGACCAGTCTCTCCTCACAACATGTCCAAAGTATGTTAGATGGAGCCTCAGAATCCTTGCCTCCAAGGAGCCACCCGCTTTAACCCTTTCCAGGACAAATCTGTTTGTTTTCCTAGCAGTCCATGGTATTCTCAATACTCTTCTCCAGCACCACAGCTCAAAGGCATCAATTCTCCTTCTATCCTCCTTGGTCATTGTCCAACTCTCTGATGCATAACAAGATTGTGAAGACCATGGCCTGTATCAGACACACCTTAGTCTCCAGAGAGCCACCACTGCTTTTCAATTTAATGTTAATAATAAACCAAATGCAATGTCAGTTTGGAAGGGTGGCTGATAGAAGCGGGAATTCATCCTGCAGCACTAAGGGGCATTTCCAGGGGTAGGCACTAAGGCTATCTTTAAGCATCTACATAATTTTTAGCTTGTATTTACTAAATCCCTCCCTCCTGAGGTATAGAGAAGAATGTGGTCTTATTTACCAAACACTTCCCCATGATCCTTTGTTTTTGTTTACTACTCCCTTGTGATTGTCCTTTGTTTACCTTCAGGGAGGGACTGGTTCTGGACACCTTGTTTCTTGGAAAAGTGGAGCACTCTAGACCTTTGTTGTTGTTGTTATGTGCCCTTGAGTCCTTTGCAACTCATAGTGACCCCTTGTACAACAGCCCTAAACCCTGCTCTATCCTGTACCAATTGCATTCCCTCTGACACACCC